AAGAAAAAAGGTACTCGAATTGTCCATATTGGTGTCTCCTTAGGCTGCCAAACCCTCAATCTTGGCCCATTACAGGCTCTTGCGAATCAAGTTCAATTCGAGAGGATACATTCCCTTGTGTCCATGCGAAGAAACAACTTATCTCACTTAGATATAAAATATATGAACCCCAAAAGTTACTTGCTAAAAGCCATACGGAGAAACAAATTATCTCACGTAGGCTAAGCTTTTACCTCAACTTAAAAGGACAATGCTCGTAAGTGATCTTATGGTATGTAAATGCATGTGTTGTGTGTGAGGAGAAACTCACAAACCTTTAAAAACACAACAAAAGACAACACTTTTACAAGTTCCAAAAATCTGTTCAAATCTGAATACCACTAAACTAAAAAATCAATTAGTTAAAATAAAATAATGCATGATATGTCGAAACTCAAAATAAACAAAAGGATCTTAAATTAAATATAATTTAAGTTTGTAATTCCCAAGAATAAAAACAACGTATAATTGTTTATGGACTGACTCTCTAAGTCCCCAGTGGAGTCGCCAAGTTGTCATAACGTCTCCCTTGGGGGTCCGTTAGACTTAAAAAATTTATTCGAGGATGACGATGAAATATAGTTTTAAAACTATTTGATTTTGGAGTCGCCACCAACCTTTAAGTTAGATAAGCTAAAAACCTAAAACATAATTTTAATGAGTTCAGAAAAATCATTAAAAGACGAAAAAAATGGTTTGCATTTTACCAAAAAATCCATTTTAAGAGTTCGGGAGTCGATTACGTGTGAGGAAGGATGAGCACCCCCACAACGCCCAAGTTTGGTACCTAAACGATTATATGATGTTTAAATGTTGGAAAATTACAAACTCGAGAATATATTTAAATTACGATCATTCTATTTATTTGAATTTATTTAAAAGATGTCAATTTTCAAAAAAAAAACTAAAACAATGATGCTTTTGCCAATAAGGAAATAAAAATTTGATGACAAATGATAAATGCTTTGGGTACAAAAATTAAAGAGCCCAAAAGATATTTTATAAAAAAAAGCTATTTATTTAATCAAAAAAATACAATTATTTTTATAAGAGAAAATACATCATTATGTACTAACAATCCTTGAAAATGCACTTTCTTTATAGTTATGAGACTTTTCATGGATTCTCCTCATAAAAAGGTGTTTCTTTAATTTTATGGATGATATAGTTTAAAAGAGCATAATATTATATTAAATTTTAGAAATGTTCAAATAAAATAATGCCCTTTTGTGCGAACAATCCTCGGGAATGCACTTCCTTTGTAGTTAGGAGACTTTCCCATAGATTCCCCTCACAAAAAGACATTATATTTTCCTTATATCAACGATAAAAAAATAAAATAACTAAACAGAAAAAAAATATAACGAAATAAAAAATAATAAGATAAAAAAAAAGTAAAACAAAGAAGACTATCGAATACAAAAAAAAACCTTTTGTGCGAAAAATCTTCGAAAATACACTTTCCCTTGTAGTTGGGAGATGTCTTCATAGATCTCCCTCACAACAAACATTTATCTTTTCTATATACATAATAAAAAATGATGATTTATAAAAAAAATAAAGTTTGAATAATATAAAAGTGTGCATAAAAAATGTAGCAATAAATGAAGATGACAAAATTCGATTTCGAATCTAAAATACGGGTCAAACATTGGTAGCCTACTAGTATAAACAAGGGACCAGTAAGCAAGCTTTCTAAACCAACAACCAAGATTAAAATACCAGTCAAGTAAGAGGATAAATAAATAAGGTTGAAACGTAAATAATGAAACGTGTAGGCATTAGATGTAAATATACCATAGGCAAGATCAGTGACTAAAATAAAAAGAAGTGTAAGTTAAGATGCTTAAATGCAAAATACTGAAAATTAAATGTTGGAAATTAAAAGGACTGAAATAAAAATGCAAGAAAATTAAAAGGCAAAAAAATAAAATGCATGAATTTAAAGTGCTGGAAAAATAAATAAAATAAAATAAGCAAAAATAAATTGCATAAATTTAAAAGTTAAGGGGTTGTTTTAAATCGTTTAACCCAGACCATAAATAATATGGATCGTCTCCTAGGGCGAGTCACCACAAGGTTGTTGAATATTCGAATGTTAGAAAATTAGCGAGTTAGTTTGTGCAATAAAATAAATATTAGTAAGTTAGTAAGAACAATAAAAATAAAAAGTTAGTAAGTTAATATGAACAAATAAAATAAAAGTTAGGGAGTTGTTTTTAATCGTTTAACCCGGACCATAAATAATGTGAGTCGTCCCCCAGGGTGAGTCACAGCAAGATCGTTGAATATTCTAATGTTAGAAAATTAGCGGGTTAGTTTGTGCAATAAAAAAATGTTAGTAAGTTAGTAAGAATAATAAAAATTAAAGTTAGTATGTTAGTAAGTTAGTAAGTTAGAAAAGTTAACGGTTAGTGGTTAGCAGGGTCCAGACCATAATAATGTGGATCGTACCTTGGATCGAGTCACCACAAGGTCGAATCGAATATAAGAAACAATAAATAAATAAACAATGGTTAGAATGAAAGAAAATAAAAGTTAGTGGTTAATGTACGATAAAATAAAAGTTAAAAGTTAATTCGAAATAATAAAGTGCATAGATCAGTGACCAAAATAAAACAAAGCAAAACAGGGAGCTAAAATCAGAATAGATAAAATCAAAGTAAATCAGTGACTACCATGTCAAAAGAAGGCAGAACTGGAGGGACTTGTGAGTGATTAGCCCCTAATATTGACCAAAAGTGATAACATGATACTGGGGACTTGACGTATGATTAACCCTTTATTTTGGTAACAATATCATGAAATACACTAAAAATAAAGGACCTAATGCATGATTTATCCAAAAGTTAAAAATAAAACCCCACCATCATCTCACTCTTCCAGAACACGTGCAAAGCTAAAAAAGAAGCTTCCCCTTTCTTTCATATGTTCTTTCTCCATGACCGAGAAGGCCATTTCCCCTTACTGGCCACCAACTTTGGTGGCCGGCCTAAGTCGATCCAAACCTAAGGATAACCGAAATAAACCCTTTTTTTCAATAATCCTAAACCAAGACTGATATGCAAGAATAAACCCACAAAAAAATCAAACCGAACCTAAAATGAAACCAACTCGATTTCTTCCTAAACGACCGATAAGGCCGATGATTCCGTACTCGAAGCCCACCACTCTTGTGCCGGCGAAGACTCGATCTAAAATGTGATCGAGCCGTTCACTCCTCTACCAATTTTCCTATGTTATTATTTTTTTTACACCCATGCACAAACAAAAAAATAAAAATAAAAAAAGGAAGAAGGAAGAAGCTTGTAAAATACCTCTTTTTTCTTTAGATTAGAACCGGTAAGAGAAAAAGAGGGAGGGAGTTTTGTTTTATTCTTTTCTTTCTGATTTACCAGAAACTAAAGGGGTCCTAAACAATGCTTGCTTTTCGGCTTTAAAGCCCAAAACTTAAAAAGGTTAAAATACAAGTTGGGTCCTTATTTTTTTATCTCTTTTAAATTTTAGGACAAAATTCGGGTATTACAGTACTATATTCCGAATTTTAACATATGGTATATAAAACATGACCAAAGATATTCATATGATCCTTTCCATTACGTATATACTTGATTTATACTTACATATGATACAATTTAGTACATATTTCAGTTTATGCACTAGAGAAAGATAAAAACCAATTATTAAAATAGAAAACAATAAGAAAAACATGACAAATCAAAGGGTGAGGAAAAGGTTTAGAAAAGAAGAAGCTTCAGAGAAAGTAGCACAAACTAGCCTGTCGGTCGCTTTGCAATTAGTGGCAAGGAAATACTATAACTCTTTTATCCTGTCGTCGGTTGAATTCATTGGTCACCGCCATATCATTCACACTCAAACAGTCATTTAATTCCATCCCATGAATGGATTAATTTTACGGCTAAAATAAAGTAAGCGTGGATTGATGGCGTAATTCAAGTTTATTGATGGGACAAATGAAGTTATGGTGATTTTCGGTAAACAGGAATTTATAAAATTTAGAGGATGAAAATATATTTTTAATAAAAAATATTTGGAAATTTATTGGAAAGAAGAGTTAAAGAATATAATAAACAGTAGAATAGTTAGTGTTAATTTTTAGGATAGATGACTATTGATAGGTTAACATGTGGATCTATCCTATTGTTAGATGATAGTTATTCGATAATGAAATTTATATAATAATGTTGAGGGATCATAATTACGTGAAAATTTGTTGAATTATTTATCTTAGGAAAAATTCTAAAGCCTTCGAGGTCCTCGTGCTGAGGAGTGACAACAAGGGGATACAATATTTGTCTCGAAGCAGTGGTAAATCTGAATTCGTATAAAGTAGATTCATGTGATGCATCAAGTGGGTTCATGTACATTGAATTTTTATTTTCTTTCAAACTTTTCTACTTTAGATTTGTTAGACTCAAATGAGGTCAATTGACCCCAATAAACTACACGTGAATCCGTCCCGGTCTAAAAGCAACGGAGGAGGTACACCAAAGCACATAATGAAAATGATGATAATAAAGCAGACGCAGTTAATATGGGTGACATGGGCACGGTGGTTGCGGGCTTAAGGTCTGAAAACAGAGGACAAAAGAAAGAAAAAGAAGAAAATTAAAGCGTCGACGGTCACTTAGGGGTTAACTTTAGATGAAAAGAAGAGCAGCCAGAGATTGGGTCAGTCAAAGCTTTCGCTTTATTAAAACTCTCCACTATTGTGAATATTTATGTTTGTTGGGTTCATATTTTCCCCTACTCAGCATCCACAACAACCACGACGTTGAATTATTATAAAAAGCACACGACACGACAATTATTCAGTGCAAATCCAATTCCGACACACACACTAATCTCTCCTTGGATATATTTACTTTTCCATTACATCATATTATATATATATAGGTAGATGATCAAACACTAGCTGCATGAACAAGGAGCACCGAGTATCGAACTTCGTTTTGTAACTCACTATTTTACATAGATAGATATTATGGGAGAGGTGGTGGAACTGCAGTCAAGTCCGGCGGCTGCACGAACATTGAACATCGTAGCACCTCCGCTTCAACTCGACTGCCGATTGATATCTATGTCCCGGTCACCGCTTCTTGATTCAACCCCCAAAACCCCGAAAAGCCCCTTTGTTACACGCATGATGACTCCTGTAGCTAGCCCCATGAAGAAGGCCATCGCGAGCATGCAAAGTTACCTGGAAGAAATCGGACACTTCACCAAGCTTGACCCACAGGAAGCTTGGCTTCCCATCACTGAGTCCAGGAATGGTAACGCGTACTACGCAGCATTTCACACACTGAGTTCAGGAATAGGGTTCCAAGCTCTTGTTCTTCCTCTAGCTTTCGTCACTCTTGGTTGGTAGGTTTAAAACACAAATCCCTGTTCTTCTTGAACCAAAATAGAGGAGTTATTCTAATGCAAATTACTTGAACAACATATGTGTATGATTCTTGTTGCAGGGTCTGGGGAGTTATATGCTTATCAGTGGCTTTTGTTTGGCAGCTATACACACTGTGGATACTAATTCAGTTGCATGAATCAGAATCTGGGATACGGTACAGCAGATACCTTCGACTATCCATGGCTGCATTTGGTAAGAGCCAAGAATCATGCAAAGTAAATGCCAAGAATCAGGGTTTATCGTGATCAAAATAAAACTAGATTATATAACACCAAAGATTAAACCTTAATCCAAGCTTAATCATTATTATTTTAAGATTTTAGTGTAATTTAACCTATTTAATATTTTTTAAAGTTTATAAAATTATTGGAAAACATAAATATAAAAAATTATTTCTTTTAAAAATTTTAGTTTTTCTGTCCTTTTCTTTTTAATTGATGTTTGATTAATTCATGATAATAAATCAAGGACTTTATAACTAGTATAGAAAGATGGATAAATTTTATTATGTTATATTCATATATTCACTGTTTTCAGGAGCAAATCTCTATACTCTTCCTATGTTTAGAGTTCAACCTTCTATTTTTTTTAGTTTTAAAAATTCAAATTTAAATTACTAAAAATAAAGGTAAGAATACTAAATTCTAAATATATGATGAGTTTGAAGAGTTGAAGGACTTGAAGTGTATTTTAACATAATGATAGGACATATTCATGTCTGCTTTAGTTTTGCTTGAATCACATAGTTTAGCAATTAAGCTTTATAATAATGTATACTTTAATCTTGCTTGCAACCCATAATTTAGCAATTAAAGTTTATAATGGAATTAAAAGGTATGAACCGAAAAAGACTGTTAAGGGAATAAATAATGATAATTTTTATTCCGGATAAGATTAATATAAATTTTAATTGAAAGTAGTGTTGTTTGATATGATTAAAGGCTTTAATGAAAGTCGAAATCTCAAAATAACTCTAATCAGATCTTCCTTTTCTCCTGCTGTGATTTTGACGAATTCATTATGAAACTGTGACCAATATCCATGCATGCTTTTGCACGAGAGACGAGACCATATGAATTAAATCAAATGGCATATTTTTTAAATAGTCTTAAATATGATTATAAAGAAGTATATGTTTATAATCTTTCTTAATTATTGATAACATGCATATATTATGCAAACACAATTATTTGAACTCGAATATTCTTATAAGAATAATGTTCTCTTTTATAATTGAAACCATTTAATTTAACAGTTTGGTAATATTGTTCAGGAGAAAAATTAGGTAAACTGCTGGCCCTTTTCCCCATCATGTATCTATCAGGAGGAAGTTGTGTAACCTTGATCATGATCGGAGGTGGGACCATGAAGATATTCTTTGAGATCATGTGTGGGAACACATGCAGCCTAAAACCCCTCACCCTTTTGGAGTGGTACTTGGTGTTCACTTGCTTAGCCATCATTCTGGCTCAACTTCCTAACTTGAACTCCATTGCCGGGGTTTCCCTGGTTGGAGCAGTCACTGCCATCTGTTATTGTAGCTTGATATGGATCGTGTCGATTATTCAAGGTAGGCAAGAGTCTGTCTCGTATGACTCACCGGATCGAGCAAAATCACAATTAACCATGCTTTTCGATACCTTTAACGCACTCGGAATAATCGGCTTTGCATTTAGAGGCCACAATCTCGTGTTGGAAATACAGGGGACAATGCCTTCCAGTGGAAAGCACCCTTCCCGTCTACCGATGTGGAGAGGAGTGAAGTTTGCTTACATGATTGTTGCAGCCTGCTTGTTTCCCCTAGCAATTGGTGCCTATTGGGTTTACGGAAACCTGGTAAGATGCTTGGATTATAGGTATTATTATTGCTCATATATACTTCTCGCGGCTAATACTTTTTAGGGTTGCATTTAGATGCCTGAAAATGGAGGGATGCTTAGTGCTTTGTACAGATACCATGTACTTGACACGTCGAAGTCGCTTCTTGGACTAGCAAGTCTACTCATTGTAATTAACAGCCTCAGCTCATTCCAGATATATGCTATGCCTGTATTTGATAATTTAGAGTTCAGATATACAAGCAAATGTAGAAGGCCATGCCCACGGTGGGTGCGGACAGGTATCAGAGTTTTCTTCGGATGCTTGGCATTCTTTATTTCGGTGGCACTACCATTCTTGCCAAGCTTGGCCGGGTTGATTGGAGGGATTGCTTTACCAATCACCTTGGCCTATCCCTGTCTCATGTGGGTGATAATCAAGAAACCTCATAAATTTAGTCCATGTTGGTGCCTCAACTGGGCATTAGGGGTGTTAGGGATGGTACTCAGCGTCTTAGTGACTACTGGAGCAATATGGGGAATAGTGACCAAGGGTATTGAAATCCAGTTCTTTAAAGCCCTGTGAGTAAGTGCTGCGCATTATCTTTCATCTTGCATATCAAAACTGACCAAACAAGCCTCGGGTCTCCTGAGCCAACTGTCCACGCGGTAAGGACAATGTCAAGCATCTACTTCTTTGAGTGCATCCTGCAATCCCTCGAGTCTTATTGACTGTTTAACACATATCAAAGCTCATGTATTCCTCTAAATATACTTGAAATCATCTTATAAACAACGCCTATTTGAAAAACTTAGTAGCTATGATAAAACCGAATATGCCAAAGTTTGCAAGAATTTATCTTACATCAACCAGGAAACTGCAAATTGCGTATGGTATTTGATCTGCTGCAAATCAATTGTATGAATACATCCTACATGCAAAAATGTTTAAATCACTCACATACACCAATTTCAATCCTCCGATGTCTTGTAAACTACAATCGGGTCAAACAAATTACAAAATCAAGTAAAATATTCTTCACTACACCTGGATAGCATTACAATATATAGCTTCTCACAATGATGCATACAGCACAAGGGTAGTGAGAACGACAACATATTTTCAAACTGACCCCTGCATGTTCAATTAGACCATCCCCACTTTCCTCATCAAACTATTACTCACAGTGGTACATCGGATCTTTGAGGTGATCATATCAAATTGAATTTCTTCATCAACTTGCTCTAGGCACAATTACATATTTCAATAGACAAGAGCAAGTGGGCCAAATGCAATGATCAATAAGTCTTAAACTTACACAACTCAATATAGTTCTACATAGATAATGGAAGGAGCATGCGTCTCTTCTTTTTCCTAGCCAGTCTCACTTGCTTTGTGATTTTCATGCAGAGAAGCAATAGCATTGTGATGCATACTAGAATAAAGGCAAGTTGCAAATGCCGAAAGTATAAAGAAACGGATGAGAAAACCAAGAAAGCTAAAATAACAAGTTCCCAAATAACAAACACAACAACATCCACCCTGCATCAGAAAAAACAGTATACAAAGCACAAAGTTTAGAAATCTCTTATTCTGAGCCATAGAAGAATAAATAGTCAAAAGAAGACCAAAAGAACGGAACCTGATAAAACTACAAATATTTTAGAAATAAATTCTTTAATTTATTTCTCCAAAAAAATGGCAATTCCTGCATCATACAATTTATTAACATAAATTATAACCTTACAAACATGTCAAAACTAGTTGGAACTAGGACATGGCAAAAACATATTAGCCTTCAGCCATGAATATTTCCCGGCGTAACACAAAAACATTAATGCACGCATGTTGCAAAGAATTGTGTCAACGCCAACTACTTATTTTCAACCGTGAACAACAATACTTCTTAACGTGAGCTAGCATTTGTAAAGGGGACTCCTAGCCTAAGCCTCCAACATTTGAACAAAATCCAAACAATTCTATAATGCATCAGATGGGCAAGCATTCTGCTCTTATAGATCTTCATAACAGCTATTAAAAAACTAAAGATACACATGGTACACAATAATCACAGCTGAGCTAATGGCAAGATTCAAGGACACACATGCACTCCTACCATTATACACTTAGTTCCCTCAACAACGAGACAATTTTATAAAAATATAGAAATACAAGTAGAAAAGAAAGGGTTAGCAAGATAATAGTGATAATACAACGTACAAATATTAACAAATAACAACAATATTCAAATATCTGGTACTGCATTAACCAAAAACCACACTCATCTACACAAAAAACTGCCATGAAGCAATTACATGAAACAACCTGGACCCCAGCAGCTAAATTTCACTTTTTGGGGCCTAAAGCATAAAATAAATAAGCCAAATTCACTTTCATTGATCACCTAAATGTCACTATAATTCAAAAGGGATGGTTTAATTATTGAAGGACTCTTTGAGCCATTGACGTCTACATGTATAGTAGATCGAGGGAAAATCAATTATAAAAAGTGAAAGCTTCTAGAGAAATTAAGGGAAAAAATATCATAACCTTAATCTCCTTCTGAAATTTTAACCAAAATATGCTATATAAAAACCTAGCTAGCCTAGCTAAAAGGCCAATGCTTCGATCGAAGCTCATATGAAACACATTTCATTACAAGCTCGTTAATCAATTGGATCAAATATGGAAAAACAAAAAGAAAGTCATAAATTTCAAAAACAAGTTTTTTTGAAAAACTAGAAAAGTAAATCATAGAATTGTATTTACCTAGACGATGTAAGATTAGACGTTGATGAGAAGAACGAAACGGAGGCCCAATCATGGTTAGATCGAATCTGATACTCTCTCAACTGCTCTTCTAAATTCGATCGCGTTATCATCGCTTGCCTTCGTCTTTCCCCCTTTCCGTTTAATGATTTTGTTTGCTTTGAGCCAAAAAAAAAATTTAAAATATGAATGAGCAATAAAAGATACGAATTGGATATAGAGAAAATGGAAGGAGATGAAGGGAGAGCACCAATGATCGATTGAGATGGGAGATGGTTCGTTGCGTCAATGTTGATGGCGAAGATATAGAAAAAGCAAAGGACGGGTTTGACGGGTTTTCCATTCAACTACGCAATGGGCGAACGTACCGTCATAACATTTTTTTTAACATTTAAGTTTAGGAAAACAATTATAACTTTTATTTAAAAAAATTGGTGATTTTGAATTAATTTGTATTAAATTAAAAAGAGTCGACATCGATCTTTGAGTTACGTATGTCGAATACTTAAAAACGTCTTTTAAAGGAATTTTAAGAAAAAATCATTTTTAAGACAAAAATTGGTATGTGTTCACCAAAAATTTGATTTAACGGGTCTGGGAGTCGATTACGTGTGGGGAAGGATAAACGCCCTCACAGTGTCCAAAAATTGGTATTTAGATGCTTATACGTTGTCGTAATGGTGAAAATTATAAATTGAATATAAAGTATGATGAATTCATTGAACATTGATTAATTTGTTTCAAATTATTTATTAGGGAATATTCTTAATTCAAGAAAAAATCACGAGATTTGCACATCCTCCAATGAGAACACTATCTTGTCTATTTCTCCTTTATACGAGAAATATTCTCCCTCCCCAATGTTATCAAAAAACGCAACTCGAATATAAATTGAATATTAATAATAGTATGAAATAACTTACTATTAAAAAACATGCATTGCATCATTTGAATCAAAACCAATAAATTAGTACTTAAAAAATAACTTCGATTTAATTCAAGTTCACATTTCGTTCGAACGTCGTATCGGATCGCACTACTCCGATTAAGCAATGCTTTCCACGTCCATTCTACAAATTGGTATTTTTGAAAATATTTGAATAAATAATATTTAACAAATTCTTAAATAAATAAATAAGCATTTTAAAAAAGTACATAAATATACTATACTAAAAATAAATATGTAGACATACACATATAAATATTTAATATGACATTGCATACATAGCAATATTTATAGTAAAATATAGTATATGCTAAGTTGGAAACTAATATACGACAAACAAGCAATATCGGGATCAAAACACGTGAATACAAAAATATAGGGAGTTAATCAGACAACGATCCAAATTTCCAAGCATAAAATGGTGATCAAATGGCATAGAAACAAAACTTTGATGATCTGAAATCGAAGTAGATCGGATTTTAACAACATTGGAGACAAGGACTAAAATATAAACATGAAAAAATGAGATCCAATAACAAAAGTATATCAAATTTCATACATAGCAACAACAAATACCAAAACATAATGAAATAACAATTGCATGCCCTATTATGTAATAAATGTAGGAATTAAAACTCAATATTCAAAACAATTAAAAATAAAATTAACACCAGATCAAAATCAGTGACTAACATTCATACGATCATGATAGGCTAAAGTACAAACTCATGAAATTAATCATTCTTGGTAAATAAGGATCAAATAATGAGAATATTAACTTTGGATGTACAATGGTGAACACATCAAAAATTATAGCTAATGTACAATGTGCAAATTAATCATTCTTGATTTTTTTTCTTTATGCTCCTCAGACCTTTTTTTCTGCCCCCTAAATGTTGCTTCTCTGTTATATTTTTATATTTTTTGGGTCATATCATGAGACCTAGAATAGGGGAATGATATCTCTGATTGGGGTTGGTGAAATCCCAATTCTTTAGGGATTTATGGTATTTTAAAATGGGTTTTGGATTTGGTTCTGAATTAGTGATTGATTGATGCAGGTTCAGTCAATGTTCGTTACAGATTGCTGACAACGACCGGCGTGTGAGTCCATCAGCAGCGACTCACGCAACGACAAGACAAGCAGTGGAGTACACGCGCCGGTTGGTGAGCCGATCTTTATAGACGATATGTATATTTTAGGGTTTAAAACCTAATTACTCTAGGTGATATGGACCGTTGAATGGGTTCGAATCCAACGGTTGGAAATGCAGACGGTGCTGGGGTAGAGGGTGAAAACCTTAGTGGGTTTGGGTTACAAACAAGCTTCACTCTGGGCCTGAAATGGGTCGGGTTGGTTTCCTGGTGGGCTTGAACGTGTTTGTTAATGGGCTTCAGAATTGGGTCTGCAAAAAATGTAAAGGATATTAATAATAATAAGAATAATAATGAATTAATAATAAATGAGAAGCAGGACAAAAACAGGTGTACATAGCTGCCCCTCTTTGTCAATTCTTATGTTAACAAGAATAGGGCAAAGATAACAAGAAAACAAGTTTTTGTATGGTTCTCCTTTTTGCTTTGAAACTTGATATTAAAGACAACACTGCTCATCCAAGTTAAAGAGATATGGTCGCTTTTTGATAGATTTTTTGTTGAAGCTGACACTGTTCCTCCTCGTTGAGGAAATTGGGTCAATTTGGAGATGATTTTGTTGCTGAAGACGAAACTGCTCATCCGCGATAAAGAGTTCTGGTCGTTTTTAGGTAAATTTGGAGACAACACAATTCCTACATGATCAGGAAGTCTAGTTATCTAAGGATGACGATGCTCTTACGTGATGAGGAGATTTGGTCGGTGGATGACATTATTCCTATGTGAGACGTCTAGCCATCTTTAGGGATAATTTGGGGGACAACACAGTTTCTACATGATAAGAAAGTCTGGTTATCTAAGGATAACGATGCTCCTACGTGATGAGGAGATCTGGTCGGTGGATGATATTGTTCCTACGTGATGAGGACGTCTAGCCATCTTTAGAGATAATTTGGGAGACAACACGGTTCCTACGTGATAAGGAAGTCTAGTTATCTAAGGATGAAACTGCTCTTATGTGATGATGAGATCTTGTCGGTGGATAACATTGTTCCTACGTGATGAGGATGTCTAGCCATCTTTAGGGATAATTTGTTGCAAGAGAAAATGTCTCAAGCAAGATGAAATTTGTTTCAAGGGAAACAATCTCAATGTTTTTATGTTTCAAGAGAAACTATCTTAAGAGAGACAAAATTTATTTCAAAAGAAATAATCTCAAAGGTTTTATAAATTTTGTTTCAAGTGAAACAATTTCCAAATTTTGTGTTTTGAGGAAAAACTGTCTCCAGCGAGACGAATTTGTTTTGAAAGAAACAATCTCAAGTGACATTAATTTTGTTTCAAATAAAACAACTTTGAAATTTGTGTTCCGATGGAAACTATCTCAAGTGAAATGAAATTTATTTTTAAGAAAAACAATCTCAAATGTTTGTGTCTTAAGGAAACTGTCTCAAGTGAGACAAAATTTGTTTTTAATAGAAACAATCTCAAGTGAGATCAATTTTGTTTCAAGTGAAACAATTTCAAAATTTGTGAAAAATTGTCTCAAGCGAGACGAAAAAAAACAATATCAAATGTCAGCAATTTTGTTTCAAGTGAAACAATTTCAAAATTTGTTTTTCAAAGGAAAATGTCTCAAGAGAGATTAAGTTTGTTTTGAAAGAAGCAATCTCAAGTGAGATCAATTTTGTTTCAAAAATTAAAATTTACTTAAAACCGTCTCAAGTGAGACGAAATTTGTTTTGAGAAAAAACAATCTCAAAGGCTTATAGACTATCTGCTTGTTCTTTTATGTTGAGTAAATGCCTTTAGGAGATCTGATGTTGACTTCAGGATGTCAACTCTATGGATGACATTAATCCTTCATGTTGAGGACGTCTAGTCATCATCAAACTTTATTTCCTGACATATCAACATAAAAAATGATGCATTTATGAATAACTATCCTATATGTTATGATGAAGTTGATTTCATGCATTTGATTTGATTTTTTTATTTTGATAAAAATAACCTTTTGAATTTGTCCTCCTGAGAGGAGAAAATGATCTTGAGAATGTAAAATTAGACGATGTGAGAGGAGAAAAATGGTCTTTGAGAAAAATGAAATAAATATTTCAAGAAAAACAGTCTTAAGAAAGACTATATTGGTGTTTTTAGACAAACAATCTTGAAAAAAATGAAATCAGTTTTATAAAAGAATCCTTATGAGAAGGGGAAAATCTTTTTTTATTATTGCAGTATGATGATGAATGTATGAAGTAAAGATGAAAATTTTATGTAACATGTATGTATATGTTGATGTATATTTTCTCGATATGTGATGGGAATGGATACATGAGCAATCTTCATTCTATCCCAGATTCAGTTGTCTTCATTTTTTTTGCACCAGCGTGCATCCTGGCAATTCTTGACTCGTGTCAATTTCTTCTTACCCCAACAAATTTTGCCCCTGGTAAAAAATTGGCTTTCTCTACCTGAACTTGTGTAGAAATCCAACAGGGCCTCCCTCATGATACCATCATCATCCCTGCCAGATGGTTTGACAAGAGAATCTATTATTTCAAGTTTGGAGATTGTGTACGCACAGCTACCCTGTAACGGGAAATCAAAGACCACTGCCTGAAGCTGACCACCACATTAATTGATGGAATATCAATTTGCCTCGGAGAACCATAAGAGACATCTATGCCCATGATGATGGTTGGGACTTTAGAAACAACTGGAATTGAAGGTGTTTGCTCAATTGCTAACATCGAATTCATTCTTCCAAGCTTTGCATTGATTTTTAGAAGCAAATTCGTAAGACGTTGATCATTAACCCTAGTTGGAGCCATACATTGTGTGACTCTACCAAACTCGACAAGTCTCATAAAGATCAAAAATTTCTTATCAGGTAAAACACAAAGGAGAAATTGTGGAGCTCCAGGAAGTTTGGATGTCCTCAAACATTTGGCAACTTATTCATCCTTTCATGTGGCTTCTGTCTAGATTTTCAACCAGGGAAGCTTTATGCATGGTGTTCAGGGATTTTGTATAGCTTTGCAAAGACACTAAAGAATAAAGCTCAGTAGGAATATAAATAGGGTGTTTTGGCTTGCCAACATTAATGCATGGGAAATCACTAGAACAAATGCAACTTATATGTTGTGATAATGGACAAAACAATCATATATACTAAGTTCCACTGTCTTTTTTTCACCATTTTCATTCTTCTCACATTTTTCTGACTCATTGATG